ACCATTACAATGCTAAAAAGTACCAAAAAATCAAAATGAGTTGGCTATGGCCCCGTTACTTATCTATTTGAAATAAATTACGTACTCAGTGTTTCATTCTAATTGGAAGCTTTACAAGTTTTTTTGTTTTTTTGGGTTTTTTTTTTTTTTTTTTTTTGGCCTTTTTCCTTTTTATCGGTACCAGGGATCGAACTCACGACTGCCTGCTTGCAAGGCAGGCGCTTATGCCGCTGAGTTAAATCCCCAGCCCCGCTTTACAAGTTCTATAATTTGTTTCACTGCTGATCTCTCAAAGGAAACCAAACTTATAAAAAATTTCCCCACCACTGAGGTTAAACATACTGCCTTCATACTGAGATCTACGCCGAGCCATGTAAAGAAAAAAATTTCAGTTCTTAATTTTGCAACCATGTTTCACTAAGTTGCCCAGACTGGGCTTGAATTTGCAATCCTCCTGGACTCAAGACTCCCAGAACGTTAGGATTACAGCCTTGTTTATCAAACCCAACTCAAATTTGCAATTTCATGGTAACATGATTTAAATTAGACTCTCTTATTAAGCCAAATAGTTTCTCATTTTATTACTATGGCAGGGACATCTTTACTTAGGGTGGCAGCTGATATGCAAAGTTGGACATTTTTTTTATTCCAGGCACATAATGGTACTAATGAATGGAAGAATGCTACTAATGAATAAAAACAAGCTAATATTTCCTTAACATACTGAAACAAAATGTTTTTCTGTACTTAAGTTTTAACCAGAAAACTGGACTCACCTAAAAAAAATTTAGACATCACTTCCACAGTCTCAGTAACATACACTGTTAAGCTATTATATCGTAGATTATGAGGGTGGCACAGTACTACACTAATTCCTATAAAAGAACTTGACTTTCTTTATACTGCCACCTCAGTGTTTACAGGTATTTGTAGCAATTCTCAAATTAGTTTTATTGACAAATTTAATTAAAATGTTAATCATCATCATTCATCTTTAATCATTAGAGACACTAAACAAAATTAGATCTAACAATGATCTCAGTTTCAACTTTCCAATGTCTTTCCCTTCTAGGTAACATTTAAATTATACAGTTCATGTTAATCAATAATAATTATTTTTCCTAACAAGATTATCATTAGAATCTCTCCAAGCAAATAGTATTTTTTTCCTGTCTTGACATCTTAAAAAAATGAAGATAAAAGAAAAGCACTTCATTTGGACAGCCAAAGAGACAATTCAATATGCCTGAAAAGCATAGCACATAGAACAGAAAGTGTGCAACTTTGTGTTATCAGCTGCCACCCTAAGTAAGATGTCCCTGCCACAGTAATAAAATGAGAAACTACTTGGCTTAACAAGAGAGTAACTTGGCACATATTACATGTAGCATCTAGTCCTGGTTGCCTAGCAACCAATCATGTGTGAACTGCAGAGAATAAAACCCTTAAACAAATGCACAGCTTCTGCAAGTTTCAAGGACTCGAAGAGATGTCAGAAGTTAATCTAAAGTCTAGTTGAAAATTACCATACTGAGATGGAGGAAAGAGAAACTATCATTATCTCACAGAATCAAGCATTAAACTAGAGGCAAGATTTGATCCTTTGTTTATCTTTTTTTTTTTTTTTTTTTTTTTTGGTCTTTTTGAGACAAGGTCTCCCAATGTAGTTCAGGCTGGTTTTGAGCTCACTTTGTAGCCCATGCTGATTTGGAACTTGCAACAATCCTCCTGCCTCAGCATCCCAAGTCTGGGATTATAGACATGTGTCACCATGCTCAGCTTCAGTTTATCTTTTGAATCAGTGGTTTTATAGGAAAATTCTTGACTATGATTTATAAAATATAAAACCTTTGTACAGAAAAACAAGAAAATATTGCTGGCAACTTGTATTTATTCATTCAACAAAACATACAAAGAGGACATCAGAAAATGGAGAGACATTGCTGTTCCTGGATAGGCAGAACCATTATTGTCAAAATGGTCATGCTGCCAAAACTGATAAATAGGATTAATGCAATTCCCATCAAAATACTAATACCAATGTTTACAGAACTAGAAAAATATTCTAAAATTTATGTAGGACCGGAAGAGAGCCAGAACAGGCAAAGCACTCCTGAGGAAAAAAAAGAGCAAAGCACACAAAGATGGATTTCAAGTTACACTACAAAGCTATAAAGCTGTCATAAAAACAGCACGGCACTGGCCAAACAAACAGACATACTAACCAATGAGATAGAATCAAGCATGCAGAAATAATTCTGTGCATTTTCAGCCATCTGATTCTTGACAAAGGTGTCAATAATATACTCTGCAGAAAAAGATTGCCTCTCCGGTCCTGAGAAAACTGGTTATCCACATGCAGAGGAATAAATCTAGATCCATCTCTCACCCTGTACTAAAATCAAATGGATCAAGGACTTAGATATTAAACAGAAACACTGAATCTGCTACAAGAAGAAACTAGGTAAATCTCCTAAAGTCATAGGCTCAGGCAAGGACTTTCTGAACAGAGCCTCAACTGTCCATGATACAACACCACAAAAAAGAAACAACCAACAGAGTGAAAAGACCAGGTACTCTTTGAACAGAGAACTCATATCCAGAATATATAAAGAATCCAAAAAACTGGACTCCCCCAAATAAAAATTGTAATAAAAAATAAGCAATTGTAATGAATAGACACTTCTCAAGGAAGAAGTATACCAATAGTCAGCATCTTTGGTCACTAGAGAAATGCAAATCAAATCAATACTGAGAACCTGCTTACCCCCATAAGAGCTACTGTCAAAGACTGAAAAAATAACAAATGTTGGTGAGGCTGCAGGGGAAAAGGAACCCTCCTACACTGTCAGTGGGAGTGTAAACTAGTACAACCACTATGGACATCCGTATGAAGATTCTTTCAAAAACTAAAAATAGAAATTCTCTTTCATCAGCTACTTCTTTTTGTATATCTTTCGGAAAGAGTTAAAGTCATTATACTACAATGATACATGCTATCTGTGTTTATATCAGTACAAATTATACTACCTAAATTATAGAAGTGATCTATATGCCCATCAACAAATGATGTCATTTGTAGGAAAATGAGTACTTTGGGGGACCATAATGCTGAGTAAAACAAAATCAGAGATAAGTATTGTATGGTTTCTCTTATATGATATAAATAATTTAATGAGCAAAATAAAAGAGATAGTAGAAAAAGAGGCAGATTTTGTGGAAACAGGAATGGGATCTAAGGAAAGGAGAGGAACAGAAGTAAAGGAAAGCAGAAGTGACTGAGATGTGACACACATATATACCAATTCCCCAAGGTGAATGTAATTATGTACTGCAAACGCATACAAATAAAAAGTACATGTGTTTAAATTCATATGCACAACTAGAAGTGTCAAGAGGGGAAATATCTACATGGGCATAGAGGCTAGCAAGCAAAAGCAAGCTACATTAGAGGAATTTCCTGGTATATGGTGAAACTATAATTCAGGAATACAGTGCTGCAAGAGGAGTCCAAAGAGACAGACAGGTCAGGACCCCGGTAATTCAGGCTTCATGCAGAATGAAAATGGAAAGGTGAAGAAGGATTTATAACTGATGAATAATGTAATCATACATGATGATGACAGGAAACATATTAGAGAAGGCAAAGCTGGCCTCAAAAGCAGACAAGAGGCTACTGCAGTAAGAGAGAACTCGGGAGAACAGTTTTGGATGTGTAGGAAACGGTTTAAGAAGAAACTCCAACATGACCTCTGGGTTTCTTACCACACCGCTGCAGCTAGGGAATTAAAACCTTCACCTGACGAGTGCTACTCAGTTCCTGCTGAAACTTCAGTTTTGCAGTCTTCCACTCTTCCTCTCATCCCAACAGAACAGTCACACAGAGGCTACATACACCTGTCTGAGAATGAAGTTACTAAGGAGAAAAGAAAGGGAAGCAGACAGGAGGAAGAAAAAAGGAAAACTAAAACTATATCAAAGATACAACGCATACCCAAACTTCTAAATGAGAAGGATACTCCAAATTTAAAAAGAATAAAAAGAAATTATAAAGGAAAAAGTGCTTATCTACATAAAATTTGAAAATATAAGTATGCTGAATAATACAGCACTAAAAATTTTAAGTTTGTAGCACATGTAACAAAGAGTTACTATCTAAAGCACAAAGACCAAGAGCAGGAAATTCTATCAGGAATAAGGGAGCAAGGAATACAGTTCACTGATATCACGATAAAAGGACTAAAATGCCTAAAAATCATTCTGCATGATAACTGAAATGTGTATGATCACAAGAGAAATCTCTAATTAACCCATTAAAATAATAATCCTTCTGACTGCCTTGTCTCTTTGTGTATGCTAATACAGACAGCCTTATATAATGAGACTATAAACAGAATAAAGTTTAAAATATATATGCATATATACACATGTATCCTTAAATATTTAACATGATTCATACTCTGACCAAGTAATTCCATTTCTGAAAATCTATTCTAACTATCTGAAATAGTAATGACTACATACAGCATTATTTATAGTAGGGAAAAACTGGAAATGGCCTAACTGCTGTCTAAAGGCCCCCAAAAGGACGACAGATATACCACAGTGCAGCCATACAAGAACATCATGTGTCACTAAAAATGATGTTTTCAGAATGATTTTAGTAATAATAATAAATCTTAAAATGTTTATTTTAAAAATGAAACAAATACAAATTTTACAAAAGCACAATTTTAATGCTGGGTTTGAAAACAGCATAGAAGAAGGGAAAAACTAGCAGCAACAATAGATTTTTTCTTTTCCTATATTTTCTAAGTATTTTTTTAAATAAAACAGCTATATCCTATTTGTATTTTAAAAAACAAAAAGACTGTGCCCGTTTCATCTATAACCAACAGAACTATGCCTTAGCCCGTGTTTAAGGAAGTAACACACTCATTTTAGACCTCTCTGTGGTCATCTGCACTTCATAGCACCGTAACTTTGTGTCTCCCTCTTACCTAAGGTGGTTAAGCAGGGGCTGAAGTCGCTCGTCTGACTGCACAGCAGGCAAAGTCCTGGCAGTTAACTGAAAGCAGAAAAGAGTTAGTAAGAACACCAAAGGCCAAACACTGAACAGGTACCAAGGCTAAATGCAACATGGGCTGGGAAGCAGACCCAGAAGGCAGTATTAAAAATGCAAAGAAATGCCAAGTGCCCAGAAAGCTGATTACTGAGTGATCATAAAGGAAAATGCGTGGCTTCAGGGAGCTGAGTGTGTCACTGTGTTTAGAGCTAAAGGAAAAAGGGGAGCTAGACACTGTAAAAGGGAGCACCCATCAGATTCCAAGAAAGAGCCTCAACTCACACAAAAAAATTTACAAATAAAAATGGGGAAACTTCTAACATTAAGATGTATAAAAAGTCAACCTTTTGGTACTCAATTCTACAGTACTGCTCAGGTTAAGCAGAGGAACTTTCATTTACAGGTAAGCTCCGAGGAACATGGTTATAATGGAAAGAGGTGTATATATGCAAAACACACACCACCTTCATTCTGACAACCACATTAAGGACGCAAAAGCAACTCTAAAATATTTAATACTGCAACAGAACCCCAAATTGATCTAAGAACTTGAGAACTAAAAGCTTTACTACTGAACACTGTACATGGAAATGTAAACTTTCAATTTTATTGCAATAGAAATATTTCGATGTATCTATATTGTATTCTTTTCTGTTAAGAGAATGCCCTCATATATGAAATTGTCTCAAAGAAATTAAAGACATTCATTCCAAAAAATCAGATAGTTTGAAATAATAGAGCCACAAAATTAAAGGATAATTTTCAATTCAACTATAAATAGAAGAGTCCTTGTGTTAAACTAATAAATCACCTCACAATTCACAAAAAAGAACCTAAGACAAGAACCAAAATAAAAGTTATCCTTAGTATGTATATGGTATCCTGTTTCTGATTTTCTCATCTATCAATTTCCTAAAAAATGGAAAATAGGGGCTGGGGATTTAGCTCAGTGGCATAAGCACCTTCCTTGCAAGTGTGCGGTCATGAGTTCGATCCCTGGTACCGATAAAAATGAAAAAGACAAAAAAAAAAAAAAAAAAAAAGGAAAATAGTCATTTAATTCACCAAAACTAACTTTTGATGTTAGGCAAATAAAACTAGAGCTATCATTTTAAAAGCATACATTTATTTTAAATTTGCACAAAATGCCATGCATGAAGTCTGGACTTTTAGCACAACCAACAGACCTTCAATGTCCATAAGAAATACTAAGTCAAGGGTTTCATAAATATAAAATATGACTATATCTAGGTTATCAAGCTTTATAAAGAACACCTTGCTACTTTAATATCCCCTGTATCCATTAATGTCAAATCCCTCTATAAAATGTCATTTCCATTGTTCAAGGCTTTCACATAGCAAAACCAACACTATTCTGAAAAGATTACATGCTTTCTAGGTATTTCAAAAGTCAATTCTCGGACAACAGAGAAGATAGACTGGACTTTCTCTCTCACACACTACAGAACATGCTTTTTCATTAAACCACCTTTCCTAAACAAAAGTAAATAATCAGAAACATTCCCATAATACCAAAATATTTTCCAAATGGCTATTCATGCTACATAGGAAATACTTCTCAACTGTAACACAAACTTTACTTTTCAATGAGATAAGAAAAACTAGTAGTATAATTATATTGTACTTTTTCTTTTTCCCTTCTTTCCCCTTTCCCCTACCCTAGTTCCTCTTTCATTCTGAACAATTTCTTCCCATTTTCCAGAATCTGTTGTACAGGTTGGTTCTTGTTCACTCTTTCAGTTTCTTACCCCAGAGAAATAATGCAGTATTTATACATGTGAGTATGATTTATTTCACTTAGGAGTGAGGTCTCAGGTTGCACCCATTTACCTAGAAATGTTTCCAGTTTATCCTTCTTTACGTCTGAGTAGTACTCCGTTAAGTAAAAAGACCACATCTTTCTTAATCATTCCTCAGTTGATGGGCATCTGGGTTCCCTTTCTAAGATTTAGTTATTACAAATTGTGCTGCTGGGGTATAGTTTTTATAACCTGGCTTCTTCGGCGGTAACAGTATTCCTTTCCGCTGGGTGGAAGGAAGAGTAAGACTTCTGCAATACAGACTTTCTGGCCTACTTCAGGGAGAAGGGGCTAGAAAAGAGGGACTGTCCTGTTTCTACTGTCTGCTCACTTGCCGAAGTGTCACGCTGTGGGCTTGGACGTCTCAAACCTCATCTCAAACTGTTCCAGGCATATCCAGCAAACAGGACAAAATGGATTAGTGGTGCCTGCTATGGGTATGAAATGAACAATTAGAGATTATCTGTGAAGTATTTGCTATTTTTAGTTGAAGCAAGATAATAAGAGAAACAAGAAATGTTGTCAATAGACTTAATAGTTTGAGAACACTGATTATAAGCAGTTACAGGTTTATTAGAAAGAAAACAAAACAGGTACCCGCTTGAACTCCTTTGCTACATGCCTGAAATAAATGAAGCTTACATACAAAAAATCACTGAGGAAAGCAAGCTGTCTCCAGCTCTGAAGATGACTGTTGCTCTTCTAAGCCTAGAGATTTTGGTGTGAAGCCAGTTGCTATTCTGCAGAAGTTTTTAAAGGGACTGATAAAGGACTGTAGGAAGAAACTGTTTTCATGATTTCCTTCTTCAACTGATGGACATAAAGGTAAATGGGATTTTAAAATTTATTTATTGACTGACTGATTGGTGGTGCTGGGGTTGAACCAAGGCCTTCACACTGAGTGACACTCTTATTCTTTCTTAATTTCAACACAACGTCTCTGAGTCATTGAGTTGTCCAGGCTGGGCTTGAACTTGCCATCCTGCCTCAACCTCCCAGTGTATGGGACTACAGGTGCACTCCCGACACCTGGCTAGTAAATGGTTCCTAAAGAGTCAATAGGCATTTCAAGAACAAGAGTGGTTTCAATCAGTAGAAAATGAACAGGAGGTGACTTCATTTTAAAGTAATAAATCCCCTCTCTCTGAACTATTCACCCAATACTGGCTAAATTAAAACACATAAAAATGACCGAATAACAAGGCTCACGTGGAAAATATTGCTCAATTTTGTTCCATGGTGTTTTCACCCCCACCAGTCACTTCTGCTTCCTGACAAACTTAAGAGGAATGACAATACCCAAAAATACCAAAACTATCTTAGAACAAACCCAAGGTAAGTTATCAGCACAGGTTAGACATTTTCACAATTACTGTTCAATTCAAATAAGAGAATCATATTTTCTACCAATGACATTAGAGCAGTGGCATACATATATATATTTACAAATGACAAAAATAAATATTATATTTTTTAAGTGAAAAACAAGTAGGAAATATTTTTCTAGTTTTACATTATACTCATCTGAGATGACCCTACTGCACCTTAAAATTTCCTAAGAATATCAGGTCAAAATCTAGAATGCCAGCCATTTCCTACTAAATGAAAGATGTAGATTATTTGTATGTGTATTCTCAAAGACATGGAATTTCTAGATCAAGAAAATAAGTTTTAAAAACCAAAAGGCAACATTTTTTAAAACAAACCTCACAGTAACAAAGAAATGCAGCTTTAGAGAGAACAGGTTGTTCAACAAAACTATCACTTTTATTACTGGGACCAAGGCAGATGTCAAATAAAATTAACGTTTAGAAGCAGCTGCTTAACAACAGAAAACACTGGGTCTTTTTGAACTACATTTTCTTATAATACTATCAGATCTCAATTTACAAAAGTCAAACTGTGAAATTCCACATTACAATTCCTCTTGGTCCTGGAACCAAGGCTTTCCCCCAGTTTTGTGCAGCCCCTCGGCAGGCTGGGCTCTGTTCATCACTAATGTAATGGCCTGGTGCTCCGCTGCCCACAGGACTTTCTGATTTATACAGGGCTCCTACACTTGATCTTGACAGAGGTGGTTTCATCATATCAGGTGGCCACAAATGTGATTTTCAGGATGTAAGCTATAAAAACTGACCAACGACCTTATGTGCTCTAAACATGCCAGGTATTTTAATTCCCAAAAAATATTAAACAGCACAGTGTTAAAAAGATATTTCCAGTTGAGGAGTTTGGATGATATGAAGAACTGACGGAGAAAGCCTGGGATACAGGCAGATATCTCAAGGCTAAGATATCTTCTGATCATGAAACCTATGATCTGAGAAGAAACTTGTTACTCAAAGGCTAACTTAAGCACCTTCCCAAGGCTCTACATTATTTAGAAACATAAAACAACTCTGCAAGCAAGGGGGCAAATGTATTAAGGGATATGTGATGATAAACACAAAAATCACTGAATCTTCTCCTCAAAGCAAAAAAATCTCCATAAAATGCACTTTTTTTCAATTATATCTTAATAATTCTGGTTTGGAATTATTAAGCTATAAAAAGCAATTTCACAATTATGCTTTTCATAAACAAAGCAAGCATCTGGAAAGTGCAACCTGACATATTTTGCTTTTCACATTGATACCCAAGAAATTGAACTGTCAGCCTTCTGCTTGGCCCCTTAAACAACTGCTCTTATGTAATAAGGATGTAGTAACAGGGACAGCAGTCATCGTGGTGACTGGTCTACTCTGCTGGGCTAAACAGTGTCTCTATCAGAGATCTACCTCAAACTCATCTGTGACAGATATCAGCAAAATCCAAGGAAATGGAGCAAATGAACTTTAATGGGGTAATCATAAACACCATTATTATCCAACAGTTATCTTTTAAAAATATACAAAATTTGCTCTGACTCTAGAATATGTTGGTCTTGGTTTTTTTTATTTTATTTGAAGAGCAAAAGAAAAAAAAACAGAAAACCCTGTTTCAAAAAATAAACAGTAAGAAATCACTAGTTAATAGATTACATATTGTCATCTTAGAAATAGTTATTCAAGTAACAAAATTAAACCATACAAAGTGGACTTTCAAACAGTGACACTGCAAACAGTTCTGTTCAATGATCCAACAAAAACTCAGTAATATGGTTATCTGTCTTATACACTAAAATACACAGGCAGTTATATCCTT